AAGATATTCAAAGCATTACTGAAAGTTTTAGTCAGATAAATCCTAGCAAACAAATTTAAACAAAAATACAAAACAAGGCAAGAGACAATACCTTTATAGCATGCAAGTGTAAGTGCACTTTCTTTGAACTCGTTGGAGTGAGTGTTGATTCCTGCACCATATTCCAGCAATACTCTCGCAACCTCGACATGCCCTGCACTGGCTGCTTCCATCAGGGGGGTATGTCCATTCTCATTGTGGTCTTCTATGTTAGCACCAGCTTTCAGTAGCACCTTCACCACGTCCACAAAGCCCCCGGCACAGGCGTACGTGAGAGCTGTGTTCCCTGCAGAGGAGAGGTTGCATGAGAGCCCTTTCCATCACCCACTCCTAATACAGGGAAGGAGATCAGTGTTAACACCTCAGAACAAACCCAAGTACATCAGCAGCAGCAGCCTTTCACCTCACAGCAATGTTACTCCAGCCCATCATTTCAGGCTGGGTATAAAATCCTAAATAATTGTAACATGAAAGTTTTAATGACAGGCCAATATTACAAATCAGATTTTTTTGCTGTTTGAATGTTATGTTTCCTACTTCAGCACACAAAAATAGATCAAATAAACACACACAAAAAGATCAATGAGTAATTTTTACTGTGGAATTGGGGGGGTGTGTGTGTGTGTGTGTTTATTTTGTTTTGTCTTTCTTTTTTTTACCTAAGATTGTATCCTGTAATTCCTTGAAAACATTCTACTGGCTGGCTGAGAATAAATTTATAATTTAAAACTCTGGTACTGTAAGTGACAGACACTCACATATGGCTCATGTTTTAAATGCTACAGTCAATTTTAAGGTAACTTTGCTTAACATGGCTAAACAGAAAGATAAAAGAATATCTCATAGTTCAGACACATGACTTTGAAAATTTGAACAAAGCTTAAATTTTATCTTAATAAACACAATCCAACTGCAGGTTAATGCTGTCAGTGAGGTTAGTTAAGCTGTGGTCAAGAACCAGGAATATAGAGAACATTCAATGCATTGTAAGAATATTAACTTCTCTTGGGTAACAAGAAAGAGACAAATAACTGGTGTTGATGGGATTTGTCTCATGATCATCTTACTGGGTAATTCTGGATTAGACTAATGAGAAAAGATAAACTTAATGTATTTTTCTTGTCCTCTAACACCAGAGTGGTTTTTACAGGAACAGTGCTTTCCCTTAGAATTTATATTAAAACCCATCTTCAATAATGGCCAGTTAAGACTCCAAACACATTTGCTACAGATCTGGTCTATTCCTAACAGTTCCTGTCACGTTTTCTTATGACTGAAAGTGTTAGACAAAAACACAGATGTTCAGAAGAGCTGTGTGCCTTATGTGCCAGCCTGACTAACTGTGCACCTGCTCCCCAGTTACCTGTGGAGGATTGTGCATTGACATCTGCACAATGGACAAGGAGGAGTTTAACAATATCCACATAGCCTCCGCTGGCAGCTGCCATCAAGGGAGTGATGTCGCCTTTATTCCCTCGATCTTCAACGTTGGCATGCATGGCTAGAAGCACCTAGAGGAAAAGTTCACTACAGTGAGTAAATTGTAACACCAACCTTTTGGTTTTAATTCAGTGGGGTTTGTGAAACTGGCTCCCCAGCCAGCTGCCACAGCCCCTCAAGCCCAGTGCCATCCACAGGAGCTTTCACAGTTACTGCCTGCAGTGGGTTCTGCTGTAGAAAATCCTGAGTCTGTACATTTGTTCATATCTAAGTTCAGTGAAATAGTGACATTTTCAAAAGTCACAGGGTAACTCAGTGACCAGAATGACAGCAGAGAAATCGTCACCTGCAATAGTGACCAGGGCACCCACAGGTCAAGCTCACAGGTGAGAAGTTCTGTCCCTGTCCTGTGTTTTGGCACAAAGTGTGAAGTTGGGCATTTCTCAGAACTATCACCTAAACATTTCAAAGCAGCTGCCCTTAGATACAGAAGCCATATAGTTCAAAATTAACAGAAATTAATGCACCGTTGATACAAATACGATTTAACAAAAGGATTGTGTGACTGAGACATAAGCATTTATAAGCTTATCCAGTTGCAGAATTTGGGTTTGCTGCTATTTTATATCTTCT